GATGCTCAAGGCTAACCTACAATGGGATTTTCCTTTTAGCCGTATCAGAGCCATATGAGAGCAGTGACCAGACAGCTTGTAGCCACTTCTTGCCCCCGACAGCCAACACTTTCAAGCAAATAGAAGGAAACACATGGGATACTTTTACTATAACAATGAAGGAATAACCTTGTGTATTTGTACTAAATAGCAAATAAATAACAGGTTGAGAGAACTTCAGGATCTTGGTTCACATTTTCTGTTTTTCTCATTGTTTATGACACCCCCCTCTTTCCTCTCTCTCTCTCCTCCCCTTCCCTCCCCTCCCCTCTCTCTCTGCAAGCCCACAGCCCAGCAGTAATTCTGTGTTTATCAACTCTTTATTATGGCCCTTCGCATCATCATTTACAATGGTAGCATCTGCTCATTGCCTAGCCTGAGCATGGGGCAAATTGCTTTTATAGGGAAAAAACAGCCAACGAGGGGACTCACACACAAACACTCACACACACACATGCACACACACACATGCGCCCATGTGCACACACACAGACAGCAGTAGCCGTGCACAAACCCAGACACCCGGCCTTTTTGCAGCGGTTGTTAACTCTCATGGCAGAATCACACACAAACACTTCTTCTAACAGGATCAAATGATTAGCCGGCCACCATTGGTGAATCAAAATGAGTCCCAAACCCAATGAGGGAGCAGTTTTGATTTTCTTTCTATTTTTTTTTTAAACATCTACCTGACGCCACAGTGTGAAAAACAAATATCACATCTGGCCTCGGAGCTCTAATTTCTGTGTTTGGTTCGGTCTAATTTAGCCACTACAGCAACATGGGAAACAGTGGGGAAGCAGAAAATGGCAAGACATCCTGTCTTTGTTGTTCGCATTTAACACATTAGCGCTCCCTAAATGATGGGGACGAGGAGATGGTGAGGTGAACGTGTGGAGGAAAGAAAAATTAAAGCAGTGCTTGTTAAGAGCCATCCTTCCAATTATGAAAAGCTTCATCTTGCAGGGAAGTGGAGTGCGAAGGCAGCAGTTTGGTTTTGTACAGATGTTTATGTATAATTGACATGACAACTGAATGTGAACTGCACTGAGGAAAATGTGATGAAAACACGCTAGCTGATGTGATGGATGAGAAGATATTCCATGAAATGCTGCTAATAAAGGAACCCTGAAGTGTCTTTTGTTTTTCAATTTATTTTCAAGGTTATTTCTTGAGGAATTAAGATTGCTCTTTATAAACACCATAAATAAATAAGACAATGGTAGAAGACTATTGATAGCCTCTGTTGAAACTTGCAATAAATTGTAAGGTCCCCAGGTTTACCAAGTGATCATTATGTCCCTGAACATAATGATTGAAAATGTAGGATGAAAACCACCAGCATCATCTCCTCAAGAGGGCTATATGGCGTTTTCTGTTTCTCGGGTTTGACTTTTTATAATTATATAACAATTTATGAATACTGAAAAATGTAACACATTATATAAGAAGCGAAAAAGGTTTATTCTACCTCAAGTCACCAAAAACTCACATTTCACACGTACCATTCCAGTTTAATTTCAAATTTGCCAAAATTAGTTTAGTAAGGAATTGAAAACTTTTTCTAAAAGTTTCAGATGCATTAGTCGTTTTTAGGGTTAGTTCGTTCTTAGAAATAACAGAACATCAACAACAATTTGAAGCATCATGAAAGAAATGTGAATTTTAGAGTGTTTATTGTGACACCAAGGTTTTTTGCAGACTAACATTGGGTTGGTTTAATGGAGCCTTCCCATTCACACATCACAGCTATTGGGGCCTCAGTGTCTTGCTAAGGATACTTGGCTACAATTAAAGGAATCTGCTTATTTTTGGATGGCATATTATTATGTTTTTAAATATGAAATGAACCGTGCCAGTATTTATAATAATTCAGCCTGACAACTCACACTTGATTTATTAGAGCATTTGAATATTACTACAGTTTGCCGTCTAGGCTCATTACTCTCTGCAAATATAGCAGACATAGAAACTGGGGAGTGATGAGTAAACATCCCTCAAGAGCCTACAGGTGGGTCCCGGAGTTGGTGCAAAGACTAAAACAGTAGGCGGAAATATAGGGTGA